TCTCTCTCTCTCTCTCTCTCTCTCTCTCTCTCTCTCTCTCTCTCTCTCTCTTCTACGTTTTAAGGTCAAGAAATAGGGGCATACGTATTACTCCGCGTTTCAACTTGTTCGGTCGGCCTTCTGCGGACAGCAAATTTGTCACGCATAAGTGACACACGTGGGCTGTATTTAACCCTCAACCAAAACCAGCCCAACCTTACAAACCGTATTACAACGAGGTTACCAGCTGCACTCTGCGCTACTCAACGCGATTATCCTCTAAAACCGTATTTGACTCTTTTATGGAACACAACTGAATGCTCAGGTAAGGTCAACCATTTTGTAGTGAATTACTTCTTTGAGAATAAGACTGGTCTATACCCACTTTGTTTTGCATCTGGCTTATCATTACCAATATAATAAAACTTGGTCGCATCTCGTAACAAGCAATAAACAAACAGAGCTAACTCCTGAACAGTTATTTTATAGCCTTTCTCGTATGTTAACAGAAATTATTTAACTACTGGAAATAATCGTCTGAAACTGGAAAACCCAGTGTAGCCAAAAAATTCTGACGGTGGAGCAGTACCGTTGTTGTTCCAGTGCGCAACTGTTTCTGTGACCATTGTGAGACAACACGATCCTTGCCGTTTTTTCGACGTTATAGAGGATCACTTCATTCAGTTATCTTCTTTTTTAAAGTTTTTTTTTCCTTCCATCTCATGGCACTGTTAAGACAGGGATGAATAAGTTGTTACAGAGCACATTTGGCTTCCTATTTAGTAGGCCTATGTTGTTGTTGTTGTTGTTGTTGTTGTTGTTGTTGCTGTTGTTGTTGTTGTTGTTGTTGTTTTGGGTACTAGCAAGTTCAATTATTTAAATCAAAATCATTTCGCTTTAAGCAAGGTGCCATGCCCCTCTCTCTTTTCTACTCTCTTTCCCGCATAAATAGATATACAAAAAAAAACGCACCCACAATCGTGGCATTCCCCCCCCCCCCTCTCTCCTTCTCTCTCTCTCTCTCTC